CCACCAAACGTATAAAACGGCCGCAAGCTCCAATCCCGCCTATCAAATTAAACGAGGGAGGATGGAGAAGAAAAAGCCTTCGCATTTGGGAAACACTCGGGCAATGATAACAAGCGAGCTGCGCGCGCTGCATAAGCTGCACGGGGTGTCGCTTGTTTTGCTAGCTGATCCAGAAAACGTACGGTGACTTGCGATTTAGGGAACTGCAGGTGAAGGACTTCGCTGAGGAGGCAGATTGCTCTCTATCTTATACAGCTCATGGACCGATATATTTTGGACTTGGCTCCGAAGTTAATAGAAGGAAGTTTATTGACGTGAGGTATAAGAGATTTGAAGAAGTTCATGTCCTCATTATCTTTACAAGACTTCCCTCGTAGCAACGAAAGTTTCTTAGACTCGATATCCAACCATTCATTCTCAAAATTTGCAGAACTCGGATCGAGCAGAGGAAATTGAAATTGCATCAACTGGCCCAGCCACATCGGGCAAGGAAATTTGAGGCTTATTATTGAACATTAGTACTTTTGAATTTCGGGTTTTATCAAAAGTTTCATTTGTTTCGCAAGTTGAGGACTGGGAAGCGTTCAATTGATAATGGTAAGATTCACTGTCGCTTTCGTAGGCATCAACTTCCTCTTGAAATTGAGCACCTGCGACAAATATATTGGAAAAATCGGGATCCTAAACATTGCCTTCGGTCGGTCCTGGTGTAATGACAGATCGCAGAAACAACATAGCACCGAAGTGAGGCCAAGTCCCTAGGTAGCGCGGGGCCTGCTCTGCACCATCCCCGGAGCGGCTTTTCGGTATCTTTTTGAATTCTCTGCGGAAAGTGTCTCGCAAGTGTTTCCGTTTGGCCTTGACTACCTCCTCTGCATATGTAAAGATAGAAATAATTTTCTTGTTTGTAGGTATTTGGCTACAGGGATACAGTTCAGGCAGCTTGCTTAATCATTCGGGATTTCGAAAAGTGCCGTGGCTGTAATAGTTGTGCAAGTATGTAGAGCTATCTGGAAAACGTTGCAGAAACAGCACATGCCAGAACCTACAGCTGCACATTTGAAAAAGTTGCAGAAGGCTTTTGGAACACGTGGCAATTTCCCAATTGTATTGATGGTAAACACATAAGAATAAAACGCCAATCAAATTCCGGTTCCATGCACTACTGTCACAAGAATTACTATTCCATCGGCTTATTTGCAGTCACAGAGGCGAATTACAAGTTCATCACTGTGGATGTTGGCTCTTTTGGAAAAGACAGTGATGCTGGGGTTTTTGACAACTGCCCTCTACGTCGAGCACTTGCATCAGGAAGAATAAAGTTACCAGAAGAAAAATGCTTGCCAGGTTCAACAATCAAGGCACCATTTGTTTTCCTTGGCGATGAGGCCTTTCCTCTCACAGAGTACCTCATGAGACCTTTCCCACGAGCTCAATTGCAAGGAGAAAAAAATGAGGAGTTTAATTACAGACTGTCTCGAACTAGGATGGTAGTGGAATGTTCTTACGGAAGGATTGTCACAACATTTCGTATATTAGGAAAGGCAATTGAAACTAACGTACAGAATGCTGTACAGATTGTAAAAGCGGTAACATTACTACATAATGTTATTAAAGATTTTGAAAGCATTACTGAAATTTATGTCCATCAGGCGATGACAGGATGATGGAGCCAGCAGATATATCTGAAACTTCGGGAAATGTCTGTCAGACTCCACTGCGCAACATCCGAAAAGACAGCCAAGTTCCTACACGTCGTGTTTTGGGTGGTTAGCCTTCCTGTATCGTATTCGACTAAAACTAATTCGATTTTTGGGTTGGAGACTGACCGTCTCAGTTGAGGTCTTCCTCAGTTGCTGCTTCAGATGCTGGGGTAATATTTAACAAGCCTTTATCAACTGCAGTGAACTGATGAAGAATGTGGATGTGTTGATGCAGGATGACATGCAATAGAAATGGCTTGGAAGAAAAGCAGTCGTGACCAACTTTACATGCTGGTGTAAAGAACCTCATCCTAGAAGTTCTAGGAGGCGGAGCACAACGTGAAGCTCAAGAAGCTTCTCACACTACCAACACTGCTATTTCGGGCCGATGTTGTGTTTGCCCCAGGAAAAATGACAGAAAAACAACAGTCAAATGTCAAAAGTGTTGTCGATTTGTCTGCAATGCCCACAAAGTATGTTTGTGCCCTAACTGCTCATAAATTATGAATTTTGTTAAAGAAATACTAAAATATCATTAATTATTACGTATAAGATAGTTCCTGATTCAATAAAAGTTGTCTGTTCAAACTATAAATCTCCTCGTCATTGAAATATCGCTTGGGGTATTAGTTCCCCAGTATAGTAATACAAGGATTATTTATAAGTGTAGTATTCTAGGGTTAAGGAATTACCTCAGAACGCGAATAGTCATTTTTCAAAATATTTTATTTATGCGCTTTTTTGAACATTTTCCATTTTTTGTTTTTTCGAAAATTTTGTAATTTTTAATTTTTTAAAATCCTCTTCACTCGGTCACTGCCGGAATCGAAGGCACCCACACCCGGTCTGCATGACCCAGATAATTTCCTACATTTTTTGTTTCGAAAATTTTGAAAAATATTTTAAATTCTTTCAAAATTGTCCGCAACGTCTCTGCCAGACCCGGTCTTTGCCGAACACGGTCATGGACGGACCCCGTTACCGCCGGATCGGTCTCTGCCAGTACGGATGTATGGTGTAACGACTCTTGAAATTCAAATCTTTTTCAAAATTTTGAAAACTCTTCAAAAATCTCAAAAAAATTGTAAATTTCATGAAAAACGAAATATATAAAAACGAATTCAAATTTTTTTAATCTGAAATTTTTCAAAATTGTTTCGTTTTGTACGCTTATTGAACGATTTCCAAATTTTATTTTCGAAAAAAATTTCTAATTTCCCCGGACCCGATCTATGGATATTTCAGGTGGGACGAACTATTACGAAGAACGACACTACAGCACGCCTCTGCCATGAGCTAATAGCCTGCTTCCGATGCTTTCTCCTTACCAACCTATGCCCGTGAGCAGGTCGTTCGAAGGGGCGTGGCCTGTGCTCCACGCATTCAACAATGAAAATATTTCCATACAATTATTACCATATTGGTTTTCCACTCACCTTACTTCATATGCTTCTGATGCATAAATCTCCACACTCCTAGCAATCAAGTCTTTTTGGTATGAACAATCTCTACCTTATGAAGACTGTCAACAGAATTCCCTTTCACACGTTTGTACCATTTTATTTTCTTGGATGTTATAACCAACATACGCCACAGAGCTGGCAGCCTGCTACGAACACAGCCGTGACTAACCAAACTATGCATCTGAGCGACTAGCCTGCTGTGGACGCACCCTAGGCTAACCAGCCTATGGCACTGAGATGGTAGCCTACTCCGGAAACAGCGGTGACCCACCGACCTACGCAAGTGAGCAGCTACCTTACTACCAGAACAGCATAGGCCAGCTAACATATACCCCTAACTGGTACCATACTGCAGATGCAGCCTAGGCTAAACAACCTAATCACATCAGCCAGTCACCTGATATGGACACAGCCTACCCCAGATTAAGCACATGAGCAGCCTAGGGCTGATAACTGATACCACAACTCAGATGCAGCCTAGCTCAACTAACATATGCCTCTGAGATGGTAGCATCTTAGGAGCTTGTCATAAGACCTATCTTTTACATAACGAAATAATATCAACTGCTAGGAACTTCTTTCTGGCTCTCAGTTATATATAACACTTCATTACATTTTAAATCATCTTGTATTAATTTTGTTGTAAATGTCTGCATATAAATTTAATTTCCCTACCAAAGTTTCATGAATTGCTTTAGACATTGTCACAGAATAAGAAGAACACAAAGTTAAATATAAGTTTGCTTCACATTTTCCAGTACTTTCACCGTTCGGTACATGTAATTCATTGAAAATTAACAGTAATTAATGTACCAAGATTTTTATTTCAATGGACCTTTATATCAGTTATATATAACTGTTTTCCTTCATTATATTTTAAACCATCTTTTAATTCTGAAATAGCTCCTGAGATATTACATTTATGGTACAAGTCTGCATATAAACAATAAATACCCTACCTAACATGTCCAATGCGCTGCTTTAAACATTGTCGCAGACAACATCCAAGTAATTTCTTTTCCTTCAACCTCTCAATGTCCACTACTGGACATAGGTCTCCCATTGGGGATTTTAGCCATACACTACCACGCTGGCCAGTGCGGGTTGGTAGCGGATAAACATGCATGCCTTGAGTGGGACTCGAGGATCATGCCTCAGACTGCGTGGCTACTGCAGTCGGCCATCCAAGCAATACCAAGTTACAAATGTGTACATCTAGTTCTTCGGTACTTTCAGCATTAGCTACATACAGTAGGGCCCGCTTTGCGGCGATCCACTAATACGGCGCTTTTCAATTGCGTGCATATGCCCCACGCGCTCAACAGCTGAGTCAGAGAAGTGCGTCCGGCGCCATTTTATCGTCATTGATTCAGTCTGTTTACAGATTTTGTGCGCTCTGCGTGTCTCTGTATTTCTGGCAATTTTTCAAAGTTATTACATACAGTATATTTATATAATATTTTTGTGTTACTACAGTGTAATTACAATGGCGTCTAAGGGTAGTAGCGATAAAAAGAGGAGTCCTAAGCCTCTTACTTTAAATGCCAAGTTAGAGATGATTAAAGTTCGTGAACAAGGCATGTCTATGCCCGAGATAGGACGTAAACTAGGCATAGCTCGCCAAACTGTTAGTGCCATCGTGAACGCTAAGGAGAAAGTGTTAAATGAAATTAAAAGTGCCACACCAATGAACACTAAAGTCATAAGAAAAAGAGATAGCCTTATTGCCAACATGGAAAAACTTTTAGTTGTGTGGATTGAAGATCAAACCAGCCACAATGTGCCTTTAAGCCGAGGCACCATCCAGAACAAGGCTTTAAGTCTCTTCAATTCTATGAAGGCTGGGAGAGGTGAGGAAGCTGCTGATGAGAAATTCGAAGCTAGCAGAGGGTGGTTTCAAAGGTTTAAAGATAGAAGCCAACTTCATAACATTAAAGTGCAGAGTGAAGCAGCTAGTGCAGATACAGAATCTGCAGAGAGGTATCCACATGAGCTAGCTACGATAATCGAAGTGGGTGGATACACTAAACAACAGATTTTTAATGTAGTTGAAACTGCATTATATTGGAAAAAGATGCCATCCAGGACTTACATTGCCAAAGAAGAGAAGTCAATGCCTGGATTCAAAGCTGCAAAAGACAGGCTAACACTCTTGATAGGGGCTAATGCAGCTGGTGATTGTAAGTTGAAGCCCATGCTCATTTACCACGCCGAGAATCCTAGGGCACTAAAGAATTATGGAAAAGCTAGCCTACCAGTTTGCTATAAATTCAATGCCAGAGCATGGATGACTGAAGCTTACTGCAAGGAAAAGAAGATTCCTTTCAAGATTTTACTTCTTTCTGATAATGACCCAGGACATCCTGGAGCTCTGATTGGCATGTGCAATCCTGAGATAAATGTTGTTTTCCTGCCTGCAAATACAACTTCATTACTGCAGCCTATGGACCAAGGTGTAATTGCTAACTTTAAAATGTATTATGAAAGGAGAACTTTCGCTAAGACTATAAATGCCTTCAACAGTGATACACAGCAGCATCAAAAGAAAATAAATTAAAAGCATTTTGGAAAGGTTTCACCATTCTAGATGGTATAAAAACTATTAGAGATGCATGGGATGAAGTTAATGAAAGTCCTCTTAAAGAATCTAATTCCCGAACTTGATTGGCATGTGCAATCCTGAGATAAATGTTGTTTTCCTGCCTGCAAATACAACTTCATTACTGCAGCCTATGAACCAAGGTGTAACTGCTAACTTTAAAATGTATTATGTAAGGAGGACTTTCGCTAAGGCTATAAATGCCTTGGACAGTGATACATCAGCAGCATCAAAAGAAAATAAATTAAAAGCATTTTGGAAAGGTTTCACCATTCTAGATGGTATAAAAACTATTAGAGATGCATGGGATGAAGTTAAAGAAAGTACTCTTACAGGCGTTTGGAAGAAACTAATTCCAGAACTTATGGACAATTTTGAAGGGTTTTCAAATCCAGTGGAGGAAGTGACTTCAAATGTTGTGTAAATGGCAAGGGAGTTGGAAGTCGATCCTGAGGATGTGGCAGAATTGCTTAGGTCTCATGATCAGCCCTTATCTGATGAAGATCTTCTTCTGCTTGAAGAGCAAAGGAGGATTTTTCAAGAAGAGGAGTCTCATCCTGATGATAATTCTGATGTCCCGAGAGAAATGACAACCAAGGAATTGCAAGAATATATCAACCACATAGAAATTGGAATAGCAGGTTATGAGAGAATAGACCCAAATTTCGATAGAAGTTCTAAAGTCAATGCTACTCTTATAAATGGTATTGCATGCTATAAGGAAATTCTAAGGGAAAGGAAACGATATTCTATGAGCCAAAGCTCATTGCTCTCATATTTTAAGAAAATACCAGCCCCATCTTCAACTGCAGAAATTTCAACTTCATCAGCAACACCAACCCCTGCAAGAGCTTCCGAACTATCACCGAAACAAATAAGATTCGTTGAAGAGTCAGATGATGAAGATGTTCCATCTCCTTCATCCTTCCTACTATAAACATATTCATTTTCAAATTTATATTCACCAATCACTATAAGCTGAAGACGAAAATATTTTAAGGTATGCAATGTGTGTACTACTGATATTCATTTTACTTTCATATCGTTTTCTTAGGCCTAGCACTATTGTGCACTTACTATATGATAGTGTAAACATCTTATTAGGCTTTGATATGCATTTGCAATTGAAAAATGGCAAAGATCCGCTTTTTGGCGATTTTCGCTTTTTGGCGGGGGTCTGGTCCCTAACCTGCCGTGTATGCGGTGCCCTACTGTACACCCATTAGATAATTCACTATCTAGATGGTTTAGGTAACCTGATGGTTCATCACCGAATTAGCCAAAGCCAGCAAAATCCAATCGCCTTCAACTCCTATCTCCCACAGATCCTACCTGAGATTACTTTCCCATCTACGTCTAGGTCTCCCCAGCAGTCTCTTCCCTTCGGGGTTCCCGACCAGTACCCTATAAACGCCTCTTGCCTTATCCATGTTTGGTACATGCCCCGCCCATCTCATTCTTCTCGACTTAATCACCCTGACAATACTTGGGGAGGAGTACAAATTTTTAAGTTTGTCATTATGTAATTTTCTCCATACCCCATCGTCTTTTCTCCTTGGTCCAAATATCCTCCTCAACACCCTATTCTCAGACACCTTCAATCCAAAAGTTCATCCCTAAGAATGAGAGACCATGTTTTGCACCCATACAAAACAACAGGCAAAATTATTGTTCTGTATATTTTAATCTTCTTAGAAATCATACGGGAAGACAAAATATTTTCAACTGAGAAGTAACACAAATTTCCATAATTCAATTTGTTCCTTATTGTCTCACGAATGTAACTTTAATGTAATTGTTGTTCCCAGATATATGCACTGTCACACTTTCAAAGTATTTACTAGCCACCCTAATATGATTTTGCCTGCCTGTCAGTCTGTCTGCTCACAGGATTCTAATATGCACTTAGTTCTTTTCCAAATTTACTTCCAGCCCCACCTTTCTACCAGCTTCTAGAAATACTTTCGCATTCTACCTTATTGTATTTATATCGTCCCCAATAAATTAACATCAGCATAGTCAACAGCTGATGCGTCCCATTCCATTGAATAACCTCCTGCCTACCTTGGACTTTCCTGATGGCATATTCTAACACAAAATTATAGGGCAATGGAGACAAAACATGTCCATGTTTCAGACCATTCTTGATGGAATATAATTCGGATAAATATTTACCCATACAAATTTTGCTACAGGTTTCATTTAAGCACAGCTTTATTAAATTCACTAGCTTCTATGGTGTACCAAATTCAATGACAATATTGTGTAACACTTTTCTTTTAACAGAGTGGTAGGCCTTACTGAAATCTATAATTAATTGATGTAGGGTCCCATCTTTTCTCTAGTATCTGACAAATGCAGAAGATCTGGTCAATTGTTGATCTGAACCCACACTGATGATCCACAAATTCATCAATAATTAACAGGAATTTGTGTATGCAAATTTTTATTTTAATGACCCATTATATCAGTTATATATAAAACTGATTACTTCATTATGATCAATTGTATTTTTTATTCCATTGAATTTGGTGAAAGAGTTCCTAAGATATTATATTATTGTAAAAGTTTGCATATAAAAACTCACCACTCTGCATACTCAAAGCAACTTCCTCCCACACAGGCAAGCACACAGGATAACCGCTACACCAAACTGGAAAGGAAAACAGATATAGCAAGACGCTTTTATGCATAAAAGGAATATCAAGTTACAAGTGTGTGCATCAGCTTTTTCAGTACTTTCAGTGCTCCCTACATACTCCCAATACATAATTCATTAATAATTAACAATAACAAATGTATGCAAATTTTTATTATTTTAATGGTGCCCTATCAGTTAAATATATCACTGTTTTACTTCATTATATTCTAAATGATCTCTCTATTCTGTAGAATTGGGTGACATAGTTCCCAAGACATTAACTTTATTGTAAAAGTCTGCATGGAAATTTAAATTCCCTAAACGAGCTGTTCAGTGCATTGCCTGCAGTAGAAAATAAAACTCACCATTCGCAAACCCAAAATCAAAAACTCAGAGAAGCGTACGTCAAACAGCCTTGACGACCTCTAAACATAAATCCTTGAATAAATTAAGAAGATTCTAGCGGAGATGTTGCAGTGCATAATGAGGATCTTCACCACACGTTTACAACAGAGTGTACGGCCTGACGGAGCTCATCTGACTAATGTCAATTTTAAAAATAACAATTTCTGTTATGTTCTTTTTAAGAAAGCTTGAAAATTACATTAACACTCTAACCCCAGAAGAGTTATCATTCTGAAAACCATTGGGTATTACTGCTGGACCCTGTAAAATTTTCATATTGAAATATGTACGAAACATTAGCCTCCATTTAAGCACATGCCACAGCACAAAACAACGCCAGGGCCAATTGCTACTCACTTTCAGGATTTGAAGTTTTCATGGTAGTGAGTCTGAAGATGGCTGTCTTCTGAGATGTTGAACCGTGTAGTCTTGTAGATGTTTACAGGCATTTCAGAGGTCCTTGCTGCCTACATCATCAGCCTGATGCAACAATAAAGAACACAGAGCCATTATATATGCTGTCATATGATCCTCCAACTGTACTTGGATAGAAATACTTTTTTTTAATTTGTAAGTATGAGTAATATCATGAAGGCAGTTGTTGCCTATTTGAATGTCAGAAAATAGCATACTTCCCTCAGCAAAGAATAGTGCAATAAGCATAAGATATGTATGATTATAGAATGGCCTGAAATGTATTTACTATCATTTTCACCAGGGCCAAATTCAAACATTATAGTACAATAAGGACCATGCCAGTGCAGGCTTGTGGGGGCCAGAAGTCAACCAAACTGTGATAAATCCCCACATATTGCACTGTGAATGACCTAAAGTATGGCATAATCTGTTTGCCAGCAGCCCTATATTATTGCTAACAATATATACAAAGTCCCCAGCCATATTAAAACATTTACAGCAATAGCTACAGAGAATGCATCCAGCTTCTTCTCCTCAGCTATTCCCAGAAAGACAAAATGCATTCACTTTCAACACATCAAGTTTCCCCCCACTAACACAAATGCAAACGGAAACTGCACTTTTATGACGCAGTTGATTGAACACGTATTTGCTGTCTGGTGGGCACACCACACAGCCAGCATTGCGAAACACGCATTACTTCACGTTCCAAGGCGAACAAATTGAAACTACTCAAGTAAGTGTACAACGGACCAAACTTGCAAATAATAAACATTTCTGAGTATATAAATGTCACTTACCAAAGCCTCATGGCGTTCATTTCTCCGACTCCTCGAGAATCATCGACACATAACCTCAACTGACAAACGACAACACCGCAAATTTCCAGTCTCTTATTCCCTAACCCAATAACAACACACGAAGCACACAGAAACTTACAGCAATGATTATTGCATTATGGGATATGAAAATACTGAATATTTGCCACTATGAACTCGCATAACTTTGTCACGCAAACATCCTAGAAGGCGAAACCCATACGTACGACAGTCTTGCCACACTTCCAAGGCTCCCAAGACTGAAAATACGCAACAAACTTTCCCCATTTTGTCTTCTTTCTTCTCTCTGCAAACGAGGGCAGAACGAATTTTAGTGGTGATCCAAACAGAAACCGAATATCGCACATGCAATCACCATACAACCGTAACTAGTCCTCACTACCAACTCCCTGTACATAAACAACATACGCCAGTCATGCCACACTTCCAAGGATCCAAATTTTTAGTTTTGTGCTCTTTTCGGACATTTTCTTACATTGATTTTTTGATAATTTTCAAAAAAATGATTTTTTCTAAAAATATCTTCACCCATGCTACCTGCCGGAACCGCTCCTGCCCCGACCCGTTATCAGCCGTACACGGCCTTGACAGTACCCAGTCCCTTCTGGACTGATCATCGATAGACCCCTTTCAAAGTTTCAAAGTTTTGAAAATGTTTCAAAAATTTAGAAGTGGTTATAAATGCCAAGAAATGAGAAAATAACAAAAAAAATTGATTTCAGAATTTTCTTTTGACACCTGCTATTATTCTAATTATTTTCTTTGGATGTAAAAAACTTTATTACTGTCTGTTGAATTTCCCCATATGACACTACAGAGTGGAAGTGAGCAAAGTACACTACCTTTAAAGTATCTATTGTCGTAAGTGGTACAACTGTTCACATGGCAAAGTATGCAGTGCTTAATTTGGGAGTAATATACTCAATGTGTTTCTTCTAATTTAAGGTATTGTCAACTTGTAAGCCAAGGAATTTGTTTCAACTTCTGCAATTAATTTTTCTTCAAAACCTATATTTAACCTAGGATATGTCTTGTGCTTATGAACAAATTTTATGGGTTTACTCTCTCTCTCTCTCTCTCTCTCCAAAATTTAGACATCATTCATGACATTTTCAAGATAGATCAATTCTAGGTGTGTAATAATGATCATCAGCAAAAAGAATAGGTTTGGATATAAAGTTTATACTTGGGGGCAGGTCATTGATATATATGAGGAAAAGTAAGAGTCCAAGAACTGAACCTTGTGGCACTCCGTGATTTACAATAACCCATTCTGAATAGGTATTATGATTGGTATGGGGGCTTTTAATTTCTACTTTCTGCCTTCTATTATTTAGGTAAGATTTAAACCACTGTCCTGCTACACCTCAAATTCCGTAAAATTTCAGTTTCATTAGTAATATTTCATGGTCTACACAATCAAATGCCTTGGCAAGATCACAACATATTCCACCCACATGCATTTCATAGTTAAGGGCACATACAGTTTCATCAGTGAAACTAAATAGAGCCTTTTCTGTTGAGACTTTTTTTCTAAATCCAAATTGTTCCTTTACAAAGATGATGTTTGTGTTTATGAAATTATTTACTCTCTTGCACATAACTTTCTCAAAATTTTTAGAAAATGTTGCCGGCAGTGAAATAGGTCAGTAGTTGGAGATTCAGGATTTTTCACCCTTTTTATAT